CCCCCCCCCAATTCCCATCCCATCTCTGTGGGGGGCAGAGGGGGGGTCCTTGTTCCTTGTCCAGCAGCCTGAGGAGCCTGGAGCCACAATGCTGGTGTTGCTGGTCGCAGCAGGGATGTCCTGGTCCCAGCAGGGATGATGTCCTGGTCCCTGTGGGACATCACAGCTCGTCCTTCCCCACCACGACGGCAGCCGGGGGTTAACGGCTCCATTTCCCGCAGCAAATCCCTCTCTTCGGTGCCAAAAAGCATCTTCACCAGCTCGTCCGCCTGCACGCGCTCCTGTGGGGCAGACCCCCGGGGATGAGCATGGCCATTGTGTGTGTGTGTGTCCCCCAAACCCACCCCCCATGTGCTGCTGGGGAGGGAGCTCACCCGCTCGCTGTGCCGAGGGTCCAGGGTGAACCAGAGGGCGATGGCGCAGCGCTGGCCCTTGGTCACGGCTTTCACCCCGTGGGGGTTCTCCGAACCGGAGGAGAAGCCCACAGCACGACCACACTGTGGTTGAACCTCTGCCTGCGATGGATGAGAGACCCCGCTCAGGTACCTGGTGGGTGAGTTGGTCCCCCACCCCCAACCCAACTTCATGCCTTGTGGTGGCGTGGAGGACCTTCCCAGGGGCCGGGGCCAGCAGGCAGGAGCTGGGTTTGGTGGTGGGGTCATGCATGGATCCTCAAGGAGCTGAGCTACTTACGGTCTCGGTCTTGGCATCCAGCTCTGTGAAGTAAAAAGCTCCTCCTTCAAAGTCCCCATTGAGGTAGAGGATGGCACTAAAGGAAGCAGAGGACAAGAAGAGGTGACAACAATCACCCCAGGCCACAGCTCCAGCAACTGGGAGCTCCTCCAGCACCACAGGCAGGAGAGCCCAGGTGGCATTGTCCTCCCATCCTGCTCCTCCCAATGCAGGTGCCCTGAGGTGGGGAAGCTCTGGCTGACACACCACTGGTACCTGTAGTCCCGGAAGGTGTAGGCTGGAGGTTCCTTCACGCACACCAAAGCCTCTGCATTGAGGATGCAGTTGTCCACGTGCACCTCGTGGCTGTTGTCACTCCGGCCCTCTTGCTTCTCTAGGATGGAACGACACCTGGCATGTCAGGACCTCTTTGTCTCTGCAGGACCAGGGTCTGTCCTCAAGCACCATGTGCTTGGGAGTGACAAGAACGTCACCTGTAGCCTAAAGCCCTTCCACTTGCTGGAGTGTGGACCACGAGAGGTCGTTTGGGTGGCACAAACCTCCGTTGACTTGTCCCATGGCATCTCCATGGCCCTCCAGACACAGCCTCACCCAGCACCCAATCCCAAACGCCTCCAGGTGCTGAAATCTGGTGCAGCATGAAGCCACCTGCCCCACCGGAGGCAATCAACAGAGCTGCTCATCTTCCCAAACTGGCCTTGGGGACAAGCTCCCCCCACACGTTCCTTTTGGGACATGGAGCAGGTTAGGAGCAGCAAGGAGGTCTCCAAGGAAAGTTCTGAGACCAGCCCAGCTGTTGGAGAGAACCCAGACAGGACAAGAGGACAACGGAGGTTGTGCTCCTCTGGGGCCATGCTCACCATCGATGGCCGTGCGACACACCAGGTGGGAGTAGGAGAAGTAGAGCGGGACCTCCAGGCGGAAGTAGGACTCCATCATGTGCCGCACTTTCTCCGTCACGTTGTAGTAGAGGTAGGCGCTCTGCAGGGGCACCTTGCCCTCCTGGCCCAGCTGTGAGGGACAGATGGGACATGGGCTCAGCACCAGGCAGGTTGGGCATCTGCTCACCTTCAAAACCCCCTCCCTGGTCTCCACAACCTGTTTCTCCCCACAGCCAACCTAACCTTGAGGGCCTTAAGGACAGTCACACCGTAGAAGGTCTCGCTGGGGGTGTGAGGAGATGTCTTCCCACGATAGCCGTCCCCAGCCGAGGCAGCTGCCTGCAAAACCCAACTGGTGTTACTGGTCTGACTTCTGAGCTGCAGGATGGGACCCTTCACCATCCCCTGCCCCATCCCGGCCCACTCCTCCCGTCCCCACGCTCACGTTGGTGAGTCCTTCACCATCCCCTGCCCCATCCCTGGCCGCTCCTCCCGTCCCCACGCTCACGTTGGTGAGTCCTTCACCATCCCCTGCCCCATCACTGCCACCTCCTCCCGTCCCCACGCTCACGTTGGTGAGTCTCTGCAGATCCCGGCACTCCTCAGCAGAAAGGACCCCGTCCACCACAACGCGCTGGGAGCCATTCAGGGTTTTGGAGTTCATGGTGACACTGGCTCCTTCATACACCAAGGGGCCACCTGTGGCACAAATGGGATCAGGAGGGCTTCAGGGATGGGTGTCACCAACCCCGGGGTACAGCACTGGGGGAAGCTGTGGTCCTGCCACCTGCTTCCACCACCACCCACATGGAGGGACCACAAGCTGTCCGAGGGGACATGGAGATCCCCATCCCACCTGCCCTCCCAGCCCTCTGTACCTTCTCGGATGAACTTGCTCATATCAGCAGACTCCTTGGCTTTCTCCTCCACCAGCGTCTCAATCTCCTTCATGAGGTTGCCGATCTCCTCAGAGATGCGTGCTGCTGTCTCCCGCTCCACCCTGGGCATGTGGCAGCCATCAGCTCCACTGCCCCACTGTCCCTGTGTCAGGAACGAGGGGCACCAGGACAAGGGCAGGACAAGTTGTCTCCAGGGACCAGTGACAAAGCTCAAAGCTGGAGAGAGCAATCTCAATGCAACCCTCACCCTGAGCTGCTTGGGATGACCTATCCATGCCCAAGGGCCAACGGGGAGAAGAGTTCTGCTCTCCAGCAGCTTCTTCCAGCCCCAACACCAAAAAACCTCCCTGGCAGCAGCTCCATGGCCATGGCCTTTGGCCCAAACCCCATGGAGGAAGAAGAGCATGTCCTGTTGGTCCCCCCCGTTGGGTAGGCTTGGCCATCAGCTTAGAAGACCACTCACTTTTGTTTCTCTCGCAGCCTTTTTGGTATCACGTCTTCAGGAGTCCATGTGTCCTGCAGCCAGAAGAACAACAACATCAGGAGCTGGATGAGGATCTGGCTGGGACACAGACCCCTCATCCCTTCCCATATGACCACCACATCCAGCCTGGTCCAGCCCCACTCACCGGGTCCACGAAGGGGATGCCAAAGATGTCGTAGCTGAAGAAGAGCAGCTCCTTCTCCATCAGGCTTCGCTGGTGGTATGTCTGGATCTCCTGTGGTGAGGGGCAGAGGGACAGGGTGAGGACAAGGCACAAGGACTCTGGAAAGACCCCAAGTGAAGGCAGGAGGGCGCAGGAGTTACGTCTCATTCCCATGGTCCTTGGTTCAGCCCTGGTTTCCTGGTCCCTCTGGCAGCCAGGAAGCAAGTGGCTTTCCCCATCCTGCATGAACTTCCCTGTCCCACGGGGATGAGCCCTGGGGAAAGGACGGGGGGAAGAGAGGCAGAGGACACCCCTCCTTGCAGGAAGCTCTTCAGAAACAGATCCCCTTCCCTGCTCCAGCTGATGTGGGGAAGAGACCTTCATCCCTGGCTAGGGACATCCTCCCAGACAGCACCTGAGCATCGGGATTCACAGGATCCCAGAATGGCCT